GAAAGCTATGGTTTTGAAAGAATTTTTTTAAAGAAAAAATACCTCCATAATCGCTAGTAGCCGGATCTTTCCAACCAAAAAATCCTTTTTACGCTTAAGATCATCCCATTCAGACCAGTATTTTTCCAGAGAATAAAACTTGTTGAGATCACCACAGTTGAATGCGTACAACACTTCGGAAAGCCATTTTTCGCCAGAGCCTTCAAGTGCTTTGAGAATAGGATGGGCAAGCTGGAAATGACAATTCATTTTCTTGTAAAGTAAGTTGTGATGTGTACATTTTTACCAAGTAGAGCATAGCACAGCCTAGCAAGTCAACAATCTTGGTCTACGGCTCAATTAACAGCTGAAAGAAGATCTAAGTTGTGATAATTCACTCACTAGTTCTCCAAAGTTGTAGACATTTTCACCAAGTAGAGCAGCGAAGCCAATTAGCACAGCCTAAGTAATTGCAAAGTTTTCCAAAGAAAATATGAGAAATCAATTTACTTACCTGCACATGTCTTTCTTCCGGGGTCATCTTATTAATGTCCTCCACACCAAGATATCTTAGCGCTTCACGGTAGTATCCAGCAAAATCGCCAACTTCTTTCAGGTACATAGCGCTGACCTAAACCACGAAGGTACTGCGAAATTTCGCACAAATATAAGATTTTGGGAGAATAAGTAAACTAAGAAACAAGTCTAACTTTGTAAAAAGGGGCATGAGCTTCAGTGACCCCAACAAAGCTTTCTATTTCCTTCTGAGTTGATTCGATCATGTCCTAAAAACCGTAGGGTCGCCATTCGAGATAGATATCACACTGCAAACTTCCAGGATCGCATACCCTGACTTTCTTGATATCCACCAGTCGATCTCCTGCATCCTTGTGGTTGAGACGTAGGTCAATTTGACCTGCATGGACACGCGCAAGCGCAACCTATAGTGATGTAAGATAAACGATTAATCGTCTCTCTAAGGAATATCTGTTTCTTACCTTATCCTTATTGACGGTCTTTTCGATTTTGGCAAGAAACTCATATGCATTTTCTTTATCTTAATCAAATATTTATCAATCGTAGATAATTTAAAAACAATACCTCTAGCAACTAACTTTGATCAAAAATAAACTTTGCGATAGGTAAGACGATTTCCACAAGTTGTAGAGCATTGATACGATGTTCGAATTCTGATATAAACCTACAAATTGGAAATTAAGATATTTTATAGAAAAATGATATACTGAGTAATGAAATCGAACCCATCATAGAACTCTTTCTGATTGAGATTTGCAGTAAAGGCTGGATTTGCTTGAGCAGCACGCACTTCCTGAGTCAGTTGATGCCACAGTCTATAAAATGTCGATTATATTTCATTGACAAAGCGACTTTCTGTTCTCACCTCGATGGATCGAAAATTGAGATGAAAGTTGAGGGAAATTAAATCTTTGTCAACTCACTTTCTTGCATAAAGCTGCTCGAATTTCAACCATATGTCAGCTACATCATCTTTAGCTGCCTTTTTATTTTTGGCAAGATATGCTTCCACTTTTTCGGACATGCTAAGGTTTGATTTATTCATTGAATGAAAATGGCAGAGCAGATGATGGTAGGAAGAGCGCAGGAAATGAAGGATAATTGGATGTGTGAACAGAACTTGTTACTTCAATAATCTT